GAACTCACATAGCAGTGAAGAAAGTGTCAAGGAATTCACTGAGCAACGCTCTGCAGCAGTAAACAAACCGGTGAAGGTTCACCAGTGCAGCATACACACCACAGAAGATGGGAAAGTGTCTGCCCGCTTGATGATCGATGCGACTGACCTTGAAATCGCCACTGCTCCAAACTTTTGGCCTCGCCCACTGTACGCGCGGGTTTGGCGCCACCGTGAGCGTCCGAAGGGGGACACCTTGTCCGGCTCACACAGTGACACTCTCAGTGATGCTCCAAAGGGGGACACCTTGTCCGGCTCACACAGTGACGCTCTCTCCGAGTCCTCCGACACTCAAGCTCAAAGCTCCAATTAGATCCTTTCGGATCCTGCTGACGAACACATTTGGACTACTGAGTAAACTTGGTGACTTTCACCATGCTGTACACGTTCACCAACCTGACATTGCCATTGTCACAGAGAGCAAGCTAACCCCTGAGAAGGCTACTGATTCCGAACTGTCCTTGCCTGGGTACTACTCCCCACTGCGGAAGGATCGAACAGCTCATGGAGGAGGAGTTGCGGTTTGGGTTAAAGCCAGTCTGGCCCTCCGAGAACTCGATGACATCCAGGTCGGTAATGAGGAGCTAATATGGCTGAGTGTCAGAACTGTGGATAAGAAGTCAGTGGCTGTGTGTGCTGCATATCGCTCTGGCTCCTGCCACGACAATGACATCAGTACCCTTGAAGCCATCAGTGCTGGCATAGACCTGGCCCGTAAATCTTGTCAATATGTGGTATTGGCTGGAGATTTTAACGTACACAACGTGGATTGGCTCGGCAGCACTAAGACAACTCATGCAGGTGTGTACACTGAAGACATGTGTGCTTTTCACTGCTTGGAGCAGCACGTGCATGAGCCCACCAGGGGCCTTAACCCACTCGACTTAATAATGACTGACCTACCGGGAGATGCGACCGTCAATACCTTAGCACCTCTGGGAAACTCTGACCATGCCTGTGTCCTAGCTGACTTTCATGTAAGCACAGCAGAGGAACCACCAGTGACCAGAACTGTCTGGCGTTACCAACGCGCAGACTGGGACAGACTCCGCCACTTCTTTAGAACAACAGATTGGCAGTCCACTGTCAGTGATGATCCTGATGCAATGTGTATGCACTTGACCCAGAATATTCTGGAAGGAATGCGCCGATACATACCGTCTAAGCAGTTGTGCATGAAACCATCTAACCCCTCTTGGTGGACACCGGAATGCACTGAGGCTGTAGCACAGAAACAAAGAGCATGGAGGAGACTCTGCGCCGACCGGTCAAGTGCCCAGCTGCAAGCCCGTTACAATGTCGCCAAGCACTCGGCTAACCATTGCCTGGCAACTGCCAAGCAGGCATTCACAGCAAGCCTGGCGCAGAAGTTAGCCTCTGGGTGTATGGCGTCTGGTGAATGGTGGCGAACCATCAAGAAGGCCTCTGGCCACGGAAACAGCCCATCCATACCTACTCTCCGCAGCACCGATGGTACGGAGCACGACACCAACCGCAGCAAAGCAGAGTGCATGGCCGAACACTTCGCCAACAAATGCAGTCTAGGGGCAGACGACCTATCCGCTCCATTTCCTTACGTCCGACCACGTACTGACCGCAACCTCTGCACCGTCCGGTTTCGCGAAACCACAGTCGAGCGAACTCTCCGCCAGCTCAACCCCACCAAGGCCACTGGTCCAGATGGGATACCTGCCCGCGTCTTGAAAGCTTGCTCTGCAGAATTGGCACGGCCGCTTTCAAAACTATTTACATGCTGTCTTCGCTCCGGTATCCAGCCACAACAGTGGAAGGTTGCAAACGTGGTTCCAGTCCACAAGCGCAAGTCTAAATCGTCGCCATCAAACTATCGACCAGTGTCGTTACTGAGCATCCTCTCCAAGGTCATGGAGACCATAGTCAACAGGGCAATGAGCAACTTCATGGAGACGAATCACGTCCTGTCAGAACGGCAATTTGGATTCCGTCGCGGCCACAGTGCAGCAGACCTGCTGACTGCTCTCCACCACCAGTGGGTGCACACCGCCGGAGATAAAGGAGCTTCTCGAGTGCTGGCCATCGACATTGCTGGAGCATTTGACCGGGTGTCTCACACTGGGGTGTTGCACAAGGCTAGAGTGTATGGCATCTTGGGAGACCTGCATCGGTGGCTCCAAGACTACCTCTGCAACCGCACACTTCAAGTCCTCATCTCCGGCCAGACATCAGCCAGACGCCCAGTTAAGGCTGGGGTGCCACAGGGCAGTATCCTGGGCCCCACCTTATTCTTGGTCTACGTCAACGACCTTGAAGACCACCTCCCAATCGGCTCCAACCTTGCCTCATTCGCCGATGACACAACCCTATACGCCGAAATTGCAACGCTCGCTGCTGTTCCTGACAACGCTAGAGTACTCCAGGCTGCTGTCGACCTAGTATCCAGTTGGGGCTCGGATTGGAAAGTGCAGTTCGAGCCAGCCAAATCTCAGGCCCTTACAATTTCCCACCATCGTCGGGACTGGCCAATACCCCCCATTGTCTTCAATGGAACTCCTGTCGAGGAGCAGCCCTCCATCAAGGTACTCGGCGTCACGTTTGACCATCAGCTAAAATTCAGCCAGCATATCCGAACTGTTGTAGTCCGAGCAACGCAGAGACTTGGAGCCTTGCGCAAGGCATTTCACTTGCTGACTATTCCTGCCCGGCTTCGAGCCTACAAAGCCTTTGTCCGGCCGGTTATGGAGTACTGCCCAATCGTCTGGATGGGGGCAGCTTCTTCCCACTTGAATCGGCTGGACTGGGTGCAGGAGCGAGCCATCAAGGCAATACATCCGCAATGCTGGCTTCCTAGCCTCATAATTCGCCGCACCATCGCTGCCCTCTGCCTCCTGTATAAAGCCCTTTGCGATAATTCTCCCGCTCTTCTCTCGAGAATGGCTCCACCCCCGACACACCAACCCAGGACCACACGCCTCACCCGCCAGGCTGTACGACTGTCCACCGCGCATCCCCATCAGTTACAGAATGTTCTTCCTGCCAATTCCAGGAACAATGTGAGCCGAGCCTTTCCCCACTCCGTCATCCCAATTTGGAACCAGCTGCCTACCTCTATCATTCCCCACCCATTTCACCCAAAGAACATCCAAAAGTTCAAGACAGCAGCTTATCACCATCTCCTCAGAACGAACTGGCACTGGGCCACTCATAGCATACGCGAGTAAGAGGGTACATTGTCCTAGCCTGCTTGGACATACATGTAATCTCTCCTCACGGACAGTCTCCTCTTGAATTTAAAAGTCTAACAGCGTTCACATCAATACTCAACTTATTCTTTTGCTCACTGAGCAATACAATCTTTCCATTTTCTTTCTTCTGTTTTCTTTTTCAATTTAATCCTCCCTACCCAATATCCCTTTGGTGCGTCCATGGAGCTATGAAGCCGAGACCTCTGGTCGGCGGAGCTTAATGGGCCCCACCACCACACTCCATCATTCACCCCAGTGTCTGGAGATATGTGGATTTTGTAGAAAAAAAAAAAAAAAAAAACTCACCTCCCACCTTGGCGGTTGCTGAGGCGGGCATTCGCATTTGATACCATTTCCCTCTGGTTTTGTCTGTATTGGTTTCGTCTGTGCTCTTTTCATCCTAAAATAAAGAGTTTACCACAACGCGTACAGATACTACGGGATGAGCTGTAGCAACGCGGTTGCCAAGGCCTTGAAACGGATTATCGGTTGTCACGGCTGTTCGCGCACGGACATCTAACAATATGGAGTCGTTCGGTGCGATTTACGTAACGCGGTGCAAACCTCATGAATACGATGGGAGTTTGCGTTTTGGGATGAAACTCATGTCACTCTCCGTGTGGTTCAACGATTTCGCAAGTCAAACCAGGATTTATTATTTGAAAGCGCTCGAGCGAGATACTCAATATCCAGACAATTTGAGAGAGAAGGAAGGTAAAATGAACTCCTGCCGTGGTCAACCAGCATCCTGACCTTTTCGAACCTCTCCAAGCTGTCCCTGGTAGTCTGGATATTGACGCACGCACTGATTTTCAGCTTCTCCTCGTCGGGATCACGGGTGCAACTTACTTTCAAATTTGCCGATATGCACTCGAACAAACGCACAATTGGACATCACAATTTCGGGGCTATCTGTGTGCTTGCTGCCTTTTTCAGCAATACCCCACATGTTTACAGGGCAGTCTCCACCAGGTCTCGGCCTCCTGGACTGAACAGCGACTCCAGCGCCATGCCATCTGTCCCCTAAATCGCATGAAAAGGTAGCTCAGCATCGAACGCACGGGACCTGAAGTTTGTGCACGGGACGTGATAAAACTTGGTGAAGATAGCCAGAAGATAGTCCTCTACCTAGGAAAACTGAAAGCTAGACTGGGAAAACTCCTGAAAGGGCTTCTTGACGCAGGCATGTCAACGATGAATCAGGGAACGAGCGAGAAAGAAGCCTTGACTTGTGCAACGCGGAACAAACTGTTCCTGAGACGAAGTTGGCCATGTGAGGTACCAGCGGAAAGCTAGTTTCAAGAGGAACACGGAATACCTGTTTTCCGGGTAAACCTGGCCTGGTAGCTTTCTAAATCGAGCGAAAACCACAGCGAAATCGGCTGCTGAGAATTTGAAAATTCAAATTTCCTTGCCGATCCAGCCCAATCGAGACTTTTGGCTGCCATCTTGTTAAATGTCCAAATTTCGCGAAAAAAAACAGCCGTGTTGTGCACATTCGATTGTATCCGTCCAATCGAAGCTATCTGGTCGGCGGGAATCGGGATCCAGTTTCTACAATCGAATGCAGCCTTAGTGAATCTTACCATTATGACGATGTTCCACTAATGCTAGTCACGAGAAAAGGAGATAAACTTATATTGCAGTGACCTACGACAAGTGAACTGAGAACTATCCTTCCTTTCTTTCATGTAGGCCAGTATTCTTCGTTCCTCTTCACGTCAGCATCAAGTGGTCATCATGGCTCTCCGTAGCCTCACAAAACGCGTGTTTGGACAGGAGGTTCAATATGATGAGGCCAATAACCTTCTCAACAATGATATAGCGATCAGTGAAGACCTGCTGGGGAAAGGAGTGTTTGGAGAGATTCGGAAAGCAATCCTCCCGGGAAGAAGTAACGTAAGCTGATGTTGTGTGATTCTCATTCCCTCAACAAATGGATATTTGATTCACTTGCGCTTTGTGGTAGGTCTGATCGACCCACCTCCACCACCTTAGGAGCTGCATCTGTTTCTTGCTCCTAGGGGGTGGTGGCGTTCCTACGGACGCGTAAAACTAGGCTTCCAGCCGAGTCTCACGCGAACCGTGAATTATTGTATTACTTTTGGGGGTTGCCTGTCAACGGGAGGCGTCACGGATATGTTTGCGCATGATGACTTTACTTTACATGTGTATCATTTATTTTGTAGATTGTCGCCAAAATTATCCAGAAGCGTGATTTGGACATGATTCAGACCGAGGCCGAAGTCTGTCTCAAGCTGCGCCACCCCAATATCGTGGCTTGCTTTGGGGAAGCTCAGACTGATAGGTACGCAGTGTTATTTTTCCACCAAATGAACGGCCGCACGCTGAGCCGCTGGGCGCAGGACATCCAGACGCAGCACAAGCGTAGTCTGAAAGAAGACGATATCCGCCCAATCATGTGGCAAGTCCTACACGCCCTGCATTACCTGCAGACGGCATGCATCGTTCATGCGTAAGTACCTTGGAAATATTCTTTGTGTTATGAGCCAAGATGTTGCGACACCAGCGGTAATTAGAGGAGCACGTGTCTGCTCAAGAAAGTGCGTTAACAGGGCACAAAACTGAAAAGTATATTCACCGACCTGAGATCCAGCTCTCACACACATCCAGTGCGCAAACCAACTGAATAGTTGCTTCAAAACTCATTTCTATGTGATTTCGTCCGTTTTAGTTATTATGTTTTTGGATTTAACTAGTTCATTTGGAGCGATCTGAAAGTAAGGATTATACCGGCAACTGTACTCATGTCATTCTGTTTCCTTTCAGAGATCTACACGCCGACAATATAATGGTAGCAGCGAACGGCACTGCTATGCTGATCGATTTTGGCTGGGCGCAGAACTTTCGCTGGGGAAAGCCAGGCATGTTGCGGCCCAGCAACTACGCATACCCGCCTTAGATGGTCATCAGGGAGCTTGGAGTGGACCATAAATGCGATATATTTTTTCTGGTAAGTCGCACAACATGAATAATTATCACAACACCCGACTGGTTTAATGGATAGGAATTTATTAGGGAAATGTAATGCAACGCATTCAAACCATGGAAGTCGGAAACGAACTTGCTAAGCACATTCCTTTGCATTTCTACATGTACTGTCCAAGGTGTTGAGAAGGTTAAGACAGTAAAATGTCAAAATTAGGGGGAGGGGGCTCCAGGGTGGGAGAAAGCAACTCTTGTATAAATTATCTGCACTGTATGTATGTCCATGCTTACAGCGACAAGAACGGGCCAATGTCCATCGGATACCAGGCCGCACTATTTGCGGCCCGGAAGTTTTTTCATGCACAGCCAACACCTCACAAGTAGTCGAGTCCACAGCTTACACTGCACAAGTACTCGTAAACGCATTCACATCCTGCCGACTTTCTCCTAAACACCAACCAACTAGTAGTGGACGCATTCACGTGCTACGATCGTTCGTTGTCGTTCGTCGATCGTGATTCATACAAGACAATTAGTCGTCGACGCATTCATGTTCGTTGGCCTACATTCCGCGCAAGTAGTCGAGTCGACATCCAAGAACAATACAGTCGTCCACGCATTCATATCCTATGGTCGTACGTTATCCACACAGCCCAGTTAGTCGTCGTAGCATTCTCCTAATATGGTTGTTATCCTACGTTCCGCGCAAGTAGTCGAGTTCACAGCCCACGCCAATGCAGTCGTCGACTCATTCACATTATATGGTCGTTGTCCTACAGCTATAATGATTTTTTAATAAAAAAATAAACAAACAAGCGATTTTAGGGGGTGGTGCCTTACAGAGCTTTATCAAGGACGCCTTTTCTGCAAAAGCTCGGGCGTATTACCCCGAGATTGTGGTGAACAGGTCGCATGTCAAAATGCATTGCAAAGTATAGGAAATGTGACAGGGTGGTTTCCACCAGCGCTTGCAGCAGTACTGAAGCTTGTTGTTTTTGCCCAACACTTGGAGAGGCCTCCTGGCAACTGCTCTGACTCAACAAGTATTTCCCGTACGCGTTGGAGGCAGGAGCAAATTTTGGAGCTCCTGCTCCATCCATGTTTTCTTTCAAAGTATCGAAAGATTGGCCTTCTGACCATAAGTTTATACTGCAGGAACTGTTTGGCAATTCCTTAAACGTGAAAGAGTCTGTCAAGCAGATTGATCTGCATGGGAAACCTGGTTGGTGCCAAGTCACACTTTCAAGGAGAGCTTAGCGCGGATAGCTTCTCTTCAAGCCGCGAAGACTGGAGAAGCATACAGGTGTGTTATGTCTTGGGTTCGATCGAACAGGAACATGGCGTGTACAGGATAGTTCTCAGTTCAACTTTTCTGGTTTAAGAAAGTTATGATTTCAGTGACCTACGACAAGTGAACTCTTACTATCCTTCCTTTCTTTCATGTAGGCCAGTATTCTTCGTTCCTCTTCACGTCAGCATCAAGTGGTCATCATGGCTCTCCGTAGCCTCACAAAACGCGTGTTTGGACAGGAGGTTCAATATGATGAGGCCAATAACCTTCTCAACAATGATATAACGATCAGTGAAGACCTGCTGGGGAAAGGAGTGTTTGGAGAGATTCGGAAAGCAATCCTCCCGGGAAGAAGTAACGTAAGCTGATGTTATGTGATTCTCATTCCCTCAACTAATGGATATTTGATTCACTTGAGCTTTGTGGTAGGTCTGATCGACCCACCTCCACCGCCTTAGGAGCTGCATCTGTATCTTGCTCCTAGGGGGTGGTGGCGTTCCTACGGACGCGTAAAACTAGGCTTCGAGCCGAGTCTCACGCGAACCGTGAATTTTTGTATTACTTTTGGGGGTTGCCTGTCAACGCGAGCCGTCACGGATATGTTTGCGCATGATGACTTTACTTTACATGTACATCTTTTTTTCAGATTGTCGCCAAAATGATCCAGAAGCGTGATTTGGACATGATTCAGACCGAGGCCGAAGTCTGTCTCAAGCTGCGCCACCCCAATATCGTGGCTTGCTTTGGGGTAGCTCAAACTGATAAGTATGCAGTGATATTTTTCCAACAAATTTACGGCCGCACACTGAGACGCTGGGCGCACGAAATCAAGACGCAGTACAAGCGTAGTCTGAACGAAGACGATATCCGCCCAATCATGTGGCAAGTCCTACACGCCCTGCATTACCTGCAGACGGCATGCATCGTTCATGCGTAAGTACCTTGGAAATATTCTTTGTGTTATGAGCCAAGATGTTGCGACACCAGCGGTAATTAGAGGAGCACGTGTCTGCTCAAGAAAGTGCGTTAACAGGGCACAAAATTGAAAAGTATATTCACCGACCTGAGATCCAGCTCTCACACACATCCAGTGCGCAAACCAACTGAATAGTTGCTTCAAAACTCATTTCTATGTGATTTCGTACGTTTTAGTTATTATGTTTTTGGATTTAACTAGTTAATTTGGAGCGATCTGAAAGTAAGGATTATACCGGCAACTGTACTCATGTCATTCTGTTTCCTTTCAGAGATGTACACGCCGACAATATAATGGTAGCAGCGAACGGCACTGCTATGCTGATCGATTTTGGCTGGGCGCAGAACTTTCGCTTGGGAAAGCCAGGCATGTTGCGGCCCAGCAACTACGCATACCCGCCTTAGATGGTCATCAGGGAGCTTGGAGTGGACCATAAATGCGATATCTTTTTTCTGGTAAGTCGCACAACATGAATAATTACACCCGACTGGTTTAATGGATAGGAATTTATTAGGGAAATGTAATGCAACGCATTCAAACCATGGAAGTCGGAAACGAACCTGCTAAGCACATTCCTTTGCATTTCTACATGTACTGTCCAAGGTGTTGAGAAGGTGGTTTTTAACTGACAATCGCTTTATTCAGTTGCTATTAAACAATTCGGAGATTGCGCTGAATTACAATAATTAATTTTCACAACTTTAATTTCAAAATAATGATGTTTTTAGCCAATACCGTTCTTAGTGGTATTAATAATGATGCTGTTGTGACGTAAATGATTACTCTGTTACAGTGCCAGCATGTTCTATTTCATCATGTTCGGCCAAGGTCCGTTCGGCATAGTAGCCGGAGTTGAGGTGGGCGTCCAGCTGGCCATTGTTCAAGCTGGCATGTGTCTGAGAACATGGATAGGTAGTTCACAGTACTCGCACGAACTCCTAAATCTGTTCAACACCTGCCTCGCGTTGAACGCCAGTGACCGACCATGCGCTGCGGAGGCTTTACCATTCCCATGGTTTGCAGTGGGCAACCTCACTCAGCCCCAACTGCAAGAACACCAGCGCTCCACTCCCCCAAGTCACTCGTCACAGTTGGATCGCGCAATAACGGAGGATATCAGCAGGCAATGGCGAGTGCCGCAGAGTGACGTTATCCACAGGATTCTATCGTAAGTAAACCGTGTTTGAAATTAAATAAACTCTCTATGGCTATTTCGGGTTCCTAAGCCTGATCAGTACAGCTCCGAACTTGAACTAACCAGTAGTTCATTGTGCTTACCGGCACATTGTTTAGCCTGGTGTTTACATCAATTTTACCATTATTTTACTATCACCGCTTTCAATGTGGTTGTTGTAATGGAAATGAGTTACATACTAGTGATGCGTACTGGGAATTCATCAACTTGACTTATATTTTGACGACGCGTGTCAAATTACCTATGCTGGTCTAGAACACATCACACACTACGTCAATGAATCCATTGCATAGCTATGAATAGGATGAAGGCCGAAGAAATCACGGAACTACGTTACTTGTTCGACATGTAACTGTATTTCATAAAAACATTATTATTGAAACCCAGAAGTGATTTTATCGTTCCTGTCATCAGTGGTAAAAATGGAACTAAATGATACAAACAAAGAAACTGAAGTTAAATACTGTAATAGAAAGGTGCTAGAAATAACATCATGATACACGTGCAACAAAACAGCCGAAGTGTCGACTTACGAGCACTTTGTTGCACCAAGTTTTTATTCGTAGGTTGACACTTCGTTCAGTGACTTCTCACCTTTGGTTTCGTAATCTTGCTACCTTTCTGCGTTTCCTCTGGGGTTTTTATTGCTCAGGTATCATGATGTTATTTCTAACACCTTTCTATTACAGTACAACTTCGGTTTCTTTGGTTGTATTATTTAGTTCCGTGTTTGTGCCCACTGAGGATAGGAAACAGGATTCTGGATTTCAATTACATTATTCTAAAATTCACATACATGTCGAGCAAGTAACGTAGTTGCGTGATGTCTGCGGCCTTCATCCTATTCATAGCGATATCAAAATTATTATCTCCACGTAGATAATTTGTATAATCCATTGACTGCATACAATGCATTAATCTGTTGCTTCTGGATGCTGTGCAATCTGCTTCTGATAGAGCTGCTTGGCTCGAAATTGCTAACAGATGCTTTGACCTCATGCAATGAGTGATATGCGAACTGTCATTATTGTTATTATTATTATTAAAAAGATTACGTGGAGATAAAAAATGTAATCAACGCAATAAATAGAGTAAGCTGCGCACTCAGTACAAACACCAATAGCAAAACTTGTTTTCATGTAAATATAGAAGCTTGTTCCTAAACGTTTTCGTCGCCATATCAACAGAGGATTACTGGCAAATCAACATTAGCTCTTAACTCAATATATATGTAGGACTCAGTATAGAGTCCATGCACTATATGATGTCCAGCACCCTATATAGAGTCCATTGGTCCAAAATCCACTATACAGAGTCCAGGAGTCCACTCAGTTTTGATCAGCTTCATCCTGCCGCGCAATCCCCTATAAGGAGTACACGTTTTCTACAAGTCCCCTATTCACGGTCCAGGGGTCCAGTTTAGCCAGTCACGCCGTCCTGTGTGTTGTGCCCGAAACTGAAGAGAACAAACACCTTTTCAGTTTTGCTTGCCTCGTGGCAGCGCATTCCTTT